AGCAGGAAGGGGAGCCAGAAGCTGCTGCCTCTTGCAGAGACCAGTTTTGGCTCCACAAGGTGTGCTAATGACCCAGGACTAGCTGTAGGTCAGGCAGACAGGATCCTAACTCCACATGTTTTCCAGCCCCTGCTGAGTTCAGCACTGAGGAAAACTGTGACCTGGCACCCATGAACCTCACAGAATCAGCCGATGGGCTGTTTCTTGCTGCCTTTTTTTTTTTTCCTTATTTTTTCCTGTGAGAAATCTGGAATTTTGACTCTTCCAGTTCCAGTGTGCTTGCAAGAGCTTAGAAGGAGCAGCAGCTCTGGGTTAATTTCTGAGGGCACTCTGCATACAACTGGTGTCTCCAAAAAGTCATAGCATGATTTTGTACGAAATGAGATAGTGGTGGTGTGGCAGTGGGGCAGAATGCCCCCTTTCTCTCCAAGTCTGAGTGTTTGTACCTGTCTTGCAGTGAGCTACTTAAGGTAATCTTAGTAAGGATTCACAAAACATGTTCACATGCTCTTCACCTGCCATCCTCTGTAATCCTGTACAAAGTACACGTAACATATTTCTACCTGTAACAAATGTAATTTTTCAGCTACAGTGGTAACCAACGTGTGCTGAAAAATCTGTGCAAGATATTCAGAGAAACCTTTTGCAATCTGGGGTTTTACACATTGTGATCAACAAGGCAAAATAGTCCTGAAACCCCTTGAATCTTTCTGAGTAGTCAATGACAACATGTTAAGAAAACGCAAAAGTGGAAAAATAATCAGAATTGTCTTCTTTTTCTGTAATGTCTTGTAGAAAAGTAGGACAAGCTCACCAACAACTTTACTAAAACCAGCTACGCCAAATTCTTCATTGAAGAGCCCATCAAGATTATCACCTACCCTGCCATCACGTCAAAGCCCCCGAAAGGATGACATTTCTAGCCTTAGAAAGTGGTAAATAGACAAGTGCCTTGTACATCTTTCTGCACACCAATATACCTCAAATATTTATGAAAGGCTTTTAGATCCTACAGTTTCATGAATACTTCTTCTTAATACAATAATCTGCTTGATGAAACACAGTTATAGTACAGATTGTGTGCCCGAAGAATTCCTTCTCGGCTGATTAGTTTCTCATTTGTTTTTGCCACAACACAAAAGGGTTTATTTCTCCAAATATAAGTGTTTTAGCCTCTCTTGTGTAATAGTTGGCATTCTCTACATACATTCGTGTTCTTTTAACCTGTCTCAAGTGCTTGCCCTCAGAGACACGCTGTGCCAATGATTTCCACAGGGCCACATGAAAAAGCATTCCTCTACATTTTTTACATTTATATGAATCTGAACTCAATATACTTTTCCCTTGACTATTCACTATGTCATTCTACCACTCTCATGCCCCTTCTTAGCTGTTTATCTTTTAAGCAGTCCTAGGGTTTTCTTAAATATGTACAGAAAATTTTGTTTGTTTGTGGATCTAGGCCAAAGTCAGTGAGCAGAGACATGATCCATTGCTTAGCTTTGGATGACACCGAACGCTCAGAATACCAAGGTCATAGAAAGTACACCTATGCTGAGCTGCTCCCGGTAAGTACTACTTAAAAATATTAGTTGTCCTGAATCATGGATTAAAACACTTTATTCTGTAGTATTAAAGGGGAAGTAGTCAATGATGGGGAGAAATTTGTTTGATTATATGAATGTCAATTCTTTATGCAGAGGTGTAGTTAGAATGTCAGCATTTTTTGTGTGGTATCTGTCACCTATTTGATTTGAGATCATGGCACCTACAGAGGTTTATTTTCACTAGAAAGTGTTGATCTCCATGGTGACCCTGTGTTCAGTAGGTTATTATGGAAAACTCACTGGATAAATGCTTCAGTGGAATTGTTGCCTAGGAAGGTATACCAGACTTACAGCGAAAACTGAATCTGCCCTAGAAAGATATTAAAATAGTAAAATTCATAAGAGGAAAAGGCTTCACTTGTACAATTTCTCTTTATTGTTTGTGTACTTAATTCTTTTCTTTGTTGAATTATTTCCTGCTAAGCATGTCCTCAATCCAGCAAAACTCAGGAGGGACAGGCTGTACAGAAGAGCCTTTCCTCAATAACAGTTAAAATGCTGACAAACTGAACACGTGACATGTTAAGATATGGCATTTTAAAATACATCTAAAACCTTTCACCATTGTGGAATGCTCTTGAAACAGCCTGCTGCTTCATGGAGGTTTTGATACCCATGGACTCACAACTGAAAAAAACCCAATGTTATGAACTCTAGGACTGCCTACATATGCATGGATTTTGCTGATCAGTTGAGCAGATAATGGTTAGTTTTTCACATCAGAATCATACTTTTTTATTACTTCACTGCAATCATCTAACTTCTTTGATAATTCTGACAGGAGGAGAAAAAGCTAGTCTTTGTAATCAGGGAACATTTGCAGTTAGAAACTTATATTCAGGAAATGTTCACACCTTGAACTATTGGTTTTTCTACACCATCATACAGAGATTCCCTCTGGCTGAGGGAGGAAAATACTATCCACTTACACTCACGGGGCTGGACTAGAACCTTCAGTCAGGACCCCACAGTCTGCCATCACGAATAGGATGCGAAGAGAAATGCAGGGATTCATAGAATCGTAGAATGGTTTGGGTTGGAAGGGACCTTATGGACCACCTAGTTCCAAATCCTCTGCCATGTTTAACTTCGTACCAGGGAGAGGGGTCTTCCTACTCTGCTCCAGCAGTCTGGCTTCCTCCTGCCCTTCTCCATCCCTGTTACTGTTTGGAAAGAAGCTGGTTGTCAGTCACCAGACTCATCTGCTCCCATTTCTGCTGTCAGAAATGGCAAGTCAGCCAAAGCTTCTCTCCTGTGAGCATCAGAAGCTAATTTACTACTCTGTAACCTCCTCTGGCTTCTCTGTGAGCATTGTCAAAATGGATGTATACTTCCTCAAATGCTCCAGGAGCTAGCCACAGTAAAGACCATCGATTTCTTGCCCCCTAAAATGCTCATGATATTGTTGCTGATGTCAGTGGTGTAAACCCAGGAGACAAATCTTTTGTCCATGATATTTGTTTCAGGCTTGACCAGATCCGAGCACCTGTTAACTTCTCTTAATTCAAAACACAGTAGCCTGAGCTGAGACAACTTCTGACAGCCAAGTGATATGGTTTAGTATCATTGGAATTCCCTGGATTTAGAGCTAAAGGGTTAATGGCAGAATTGAGGCCAGGTTTGTTTTTCTGTTTCAAGTATTGAGGAACCACCTAAGGGATGCTATGGTCATTTTGCTGTCCTGGTGCCTTCAGTCATCAGACTTATTCCCATGGATGTGAATATTTAGTGGGAAAATGCTATGGAGAGCTATGATCAATTGCATATGTAGTAGAAAATGGAGTCTAGCTTCTTGGGATGAAGATACTAATTGAACACATTGCATGGCCCTCAGTTGCAATGTACTGACATTTGAAAATAATGAAAGCCTGTTATTCCTTGCTGTATAACTATATTTTATTTGTCCAGGGAAAAAGTGCTGCTGGCAGTGTTGTCTTAAGGGGATCAAGAATGGAAAGCATGCTGCAGTCTCTTTATTTGGAGAACAGAGCAGGCTACTACTTCACACACTTCTGTGAGAAGTCAGGGAATAAGGTATGAACATTTTCCTACCCAGCGATAATTTAGTCCACAATTGACTGAATGCCAAGTTATAGAGGGCAGCCAGACCGAAAAAAAAAAAAAAAATGGAGAAAGAAAGATTGCTGACTGGATGAATTATTACTTGTGAGACTCCAATCCCTCAACAACAATAAACTGTTCATATGTATATTCAAACTAATGACAGGTCTTAACCAAGCTGTCAGACCCTAACTGTCTCAAACCTAATGGAAATCTGATTGTACCATCAGGGATAAAAAAAGACTAATCATTTTTAAAAACTAGCCTTTAACTTGGCAGAAAAAATGAGGTCTTAACCCACAAAAATATTTTTTAAAAGATGGAAAATCTGCTATGCCATTACTCATGATAATCTGCCTCCTTCTTACTTGTTGGGTTAGTGATGTCCAAAATCTCCAATGTTTTAAAAACGTTCTTCTGCTTCCACGAAGCTTCTTGGATTTCTGAGAAACATAACACTATTTCTTCGCTGCAGTCAGCAGATCCATCATTCATTGCTGGGTGTAAATTGAGGATTGGTTGGAACAAGTTACGAATTTGAGTCAGTGTTTAGTGGCTTTGCAGAAAAATTGAGTCTTTAGCGGAGATTTGAATGCAATCAAGATGGACATCTGTTTCACCGCTGGCACAACCCAGAATCCAGCAGCAGTAGCTAGAAATGCCTTTGACTACCAGAAGGCAAGAGCTAATGTTTCCAAAGCTGAATACCTTCAGCTAAAAATGTTAAATGTGCATAGATAGAAATCTAAATAAAAGTAACTTATTTTTTTCATATGAGATAGGCATCCACCCACAAGTCCTCTAGTCTGTGTTGGTTCCCTGCCCTTATCTTTTTGGAATACTTTATTGTCCAGTGATGGGGTTTTCAAGGTATTTTTAAGATCCAAACCTCCTAAGTACACGATTAAAACAGAGAACTTGGAGCAAGATCTAGACTCCTTCTTCTGAAAGATCTTTTGATATTTGCTTGAATTTGTGAAATGAGGCCAAGACTCTGTGACTCAGAAATGCATGTAATGATAGTCCCAGTAACATATGTCAAGTACACAATATTTAACTGTTTTGGTTATTGCTGCAAAGTGCTATTTCACCATGGCACAAATTCTGCATGTCCATTATCAGCATTTCTTCTTTAGTGCTGGCTTTATGCCAACAAAATGTGGTTACTCTTCAAATGTTAACTACAATATTAACAATTTTAATGGCCAATTATGCATAAAGGATACAATAAAACATATAGTATCACAGTGACGATGCTATTAAATATGTTGTCCTTCTGCCAGTATGCAACAGAAGATTAAATCCATCTTAAATTAAGCTTGATTTATGATGACCCCAAGGAGCTAAAGAATTACTTGCATTGGAAAGTCAATCTTTTATAAAGCTGTGATATTTGGGTAGCAATAGCTTACAATATTTTTCTTCTCTAGCTGTGGAAGAACAGTGCGTACTTTTGGTTTGACCTACAGGCTTATCATCAACTTTTCTACCAAGAAACTCTTCATCCTTTCAAAATATGCAAGCAAGCTCAAGTAAGTTGTAAATAATGTATTTTCCCTTCACAAATACATTTGTTGAGTGTAAAGACTGGAAAGAAGATAGAAAGTAGAAAAGTTTCCAAATCTTGACAACCCACACCAAAGTAAATCTGAGCTGTGCACAATAAGAGAATCTTTTTGGATTGTTTCCATGGAATGACTTGATTTAAATGTTAAACATGCATAGTTTGATTTCTAGGCTCTGCTGCTTGTTCCCAGTTTTATCTACTATACTCAGTTTACCTAATCTCCCCTTTGCTAGTCTGTGTCATATTTGAAAACTGTCTGCTTAGTGTTAACATCAGAGATAATATTTTTTTCTAAATCATCTAATTGTGCTGTACCATTTCTTCCATCTCCTGTGTGAGTTAGAATTGCAGGTGTCACAGTCCAGACCTCAGATAATGACCTTAGTCATGAAAACGGATCTTTCAGTTGTCAGTCCTGCTTTTTTTTTTCTGATTGTCAGGTCATCCTTGTACTCTTTGTGGTTGTCATTCCCCCCTTTTGATCTTCAGACCCTCATTTACTGTCAAGTGGAACTGATATTTCCTATAAACGAGCATTCTTAATTGAGCGTGCACTTCAAGACAGGGAATAAACCAAAAGTGGAGGGGTTCACCATGGACCATGGATGCTGATGGCTGTCACTGCCTGCAGAATAGTCCGATCCTGCCAGGGTAGGAGACTGTAGCAGCGTGATATCATTAGAAGAACTCCAAGTCACTTTTAAAACACTTTGTGAAACTTGGGTCTGTTTTTCCTCAGTAAACCTTGTGTAGGAGTATATCCTATCTGCGTATTTCAATATATGCCGTAATAGAGCAAAGCTACTTCACATGTCATTGGAACAAATATCTGTAGAGCGCAGTGGAGAATAATCTCTTTGTATGGCTTATGTTACTGAGCATCTGGACTTCCTTGAGTTTGTCTTCTTTTCCTGCTCAGATGTTTTACTGGGGCAACTGACAGGTTTTTGCATATTTGTCCAGAATTCTCACCTGAACCAGTGTTACTTGTACAGAAACTCCAAGCAGAGGCTGAGACACGGATTCCTCCCTCTCCTGTCCCACACTGACTAACTTGAACTGCTACCCGATTTAGTTGTTTTCCCCTCCAGCTCTACTTACAGCCTGAGGCTGTGGGCAACTGTACCCCTAAGACTGACTGGCTCCTGCATCTGCCCAGGCCTGTGTATCGCCAGGGACCCCGCTGACAACAGGCATGCAAGCTAACCATACCTAGTTTGTGTCTTCATTTTCCCGTATGTTTTGTGTCAGGCCAAATCTTAGGTTATGGTCCATGACAGTTTTCAATTTGGTTTCATTTCACACCAGTTTACACTTTCTCTGCAGTGGTTGCATGGGTGAAAATTAAGGCCCGTGTCTTTTTTACTTATCTTATTTCCAGTGCTGGCCTGGTGGTGACAGCAGAAGATCGTGCAATCAGTGTTACCGGGCAGTTGCAGAGAGCTACACACACACAGAGCCATTAAAGTAAATACATCAAAACGAAATATGTGAAACTGTTCCATTAGCATAACTAACAGCTGAAATGTAACATAACAAATCAACACATGTGCTGCAACATTTGGTATCATTCTCAAGCTTGCCTTTTAAGGCTGCACAAAAACTGTTCTTGTTTTCACTGGAACATGGTAAAGAGTCAAGCTGCATCCAATCTACAGGGTCTGCTTATGGAAGAGAGGCCTTCCCAAATTCTGTGATCACCTTTGGCACAATAAGGCAGTAATTCCAAATACTCCTAAGAGAATGTAGATCTGATTCACCTAACACATCGTCATATATATTTCACTATTTATTACAGAAAGAGACATCCAGAGTATTCTCTATGTGTTCTGCCTGCTTCCTGTTAGAAACAACAGCAAACCTGGATTGCTATGTATCTGCTACTCATTGTTTCATTTGTTAGGCATTTTTATCTCAGCTTTATGGTAGAGTAAGAAACTGCATTCCAAAGCGTATATTCATTCAGCCAGGGAAAGAAACTACAGTGAGAATGAAATCCGGTGGATAAGAAAAATGATGAGTGCCAGTAATCATCTAGGAACATAAATAGTTATTCACTATAAACATAAACACAGAAGTGTAAAATAAATTGGGAAAGAAAAGCAATAATGAAATACATGTTGTAGTTTTTGACAAAAAAATAGTTATGTAGAATTAGAAAATTTAATACAGTTATGGGAAGTACAATATTTTAACACCAGTATCAGTTTAGATAAAGGGAGTTATCATTACTGTGAACTTCTAGGGTCAGACACAGGATTTATGTGAGTGGAAGGTGATGACAGGGGTTAAGGGAGTTTAGCCTTTCCATTTAAGACCGGGCAGTGCATTGTATTCCTCCATCATATGATTTTGTCAAGCAGCTGCACAAGCCCCTCGTTTAGATCAGAGCAATATCCACGCCTTTGGGCAGCAATACAAAGCACTTGGACTGAAATCTTTTTTGTGTTTCTTGCTTCACTCTAGCCATTCTGAGATTGCTTACCAAACCCTTCTCATCTGGGGATGAATTCATACCAAAATCCAAGGCCTGAACAGTTCCCGATTTGGAAAGTCATAAACAAGGCCAAAGTCTTAATCTGAATTTCCTAAGAATTTAAGATATTAAGATTTGTGCCATTACATAAAATTTCAAGATGTAAACTCTGACCAAATTTCCAGATAGGGTTTTGGGTTCAATCCATCACTTATTCTAGGAAAATGTACAGCTGGCAGGTGGGAAAATTCTTTGTGTTTTACAAAAGGAACAAAACGTTGAATAAATGAAATATGATGTGCACTTGATGTCACATGTTTAAGATTTTTGTATGAATTTGATAACTTTAAAGTCCATTTAATGTATTTTTCTTCCCTATTGATCCTTTAGGATATTGGCCAATACAACAAATTCACTGTTCCACTGAGATTCAGAAAACCACAAGACTTCCATGACATGGGAGTCAAAAAGGTCTATGAATGTTCCTTTTTAAAGGATACAATATATTTCCCCCCTACACCTTGCTGACTTCATCGGCCATTGTTGAAGGCTGTGAACACTGACACTTTTCCTTGGCATGTCTAGAACTCTTTGCAGCTGGTTTTCCTGCAGTCCTTGCATTTATATGAGTGCAGATCTACAGATTCACCTGAACCCTCAACAAGGGACACAGGGATGAAAGCTCCTTCTCATTTCTCCCCTATTTGCAAGTGCACGCATTCACTGTGTCACTTGGTGATGCTATCATTTTACTTGGTGGGTCAAAACTCATGTCAATGGATTGTTACAAGAATTTAAGCAAAAAGATGGCATCATGGCCAATCCTCAGACACTGTGAGTCTGCATCCTTCAAAAGTGAAGGAGCTATCCTGATGACAGCACTGAGGATCTGGTCCTTTGAGTTTTGGAAAAATGGAATCCTATTGCTAGCTTAAACACCTCTAAATTTCTGCTTCCTGTGTATTGCCAGCCCTAACTATTGTTTCTGGGAAAAAACATCTGTCTTTACTATGCTCCAGTTTTGCACATGAAATTATACAGGACTGGGGGCAGTTCTGCAGGTAGAGCAGCCTGAAAAGGCAGTCCCTAGCATGGCAGTATATTACACCTGTGTGTGTGTGAGCAGAATGTCAACAGTGTTTGGCCAAAGTTTCCTTAGACTGGGCAATTTCTGTAGGCTGATATTTTTTTTGTCATCTGCAAATATACTCAAGTTAACCCATTTCATACAAAATCATAGGGGAAAGAAGGGTTCCACGCAAGAAACTTGTGAAGCGTTTGTTTTGGTTTTATTCTTAATACTATGCTAAAAATGATCAGCCATTTAAAGAACCAGGTCAAATGTGTGTGGAAAAAATTGAGGACCTATTTTGGACCCTTTTCACCAAATCACAGATCCCTTGTGGGGTTTTGTGAGTCATAACAGGTGGAGCAATGTAGCCCTAATGACGAATAAAATGGTTAACCCCTCTTTAAAAAAGTCTATTTTTAAAGATACCACATGTTTATATCATTGGACTGGTCCCTTCTAATTTGGCTATTTTATGTGTTTTTGGATCAGACTAGAGCATGATGTAACTGAAACTTTACTAGTGTTAGGGTTCTTCAAAATAACTTACATCTTTTGAAATCACTGTGAATCTAATTAATGCTGTCTCTGTTAAATTTATTGGGGATTTGCTGAAAAGGGCATAATTTAAGTGTAGTCTTGTTCTTCAACTAGGACCCTTCCTGTGGATGTCATCAATCTTAGACCTTACATTTACACCTCAGGGTCTTTACTGCACTGATGACATGGGCCACAATAGCCACAAACCATCTTTGTTTTCAGTGATTAGTTCTGTGTAGGAAGACGGTGGAATCCTGCATAGACAGTAAATATAGTAATGGTAACAAGTTCTACATGAGGGATGGGTCAGCCATCGTAACTCTGTATTCCTCAGTGACCTCAGGGTCTAAAGAGTCTGTTTCAAACTGTTAAGGTCCAGAATAATGAGGATGTAGTCTGGTACTGTTTCTGTTTGAAAGAAAGAGTATGATAAATCAGAATTTAATTTAAAACAAACAAACCCGTAATTATTTAATGTACGCAAACATTCTTCCACTGTGCTTGAAATCTAAACACAACAGTGTTTTATTATTGCTTGAATGCAGAGTAAATGTATTAGTTTCTTCTTTTCTACTGCTTTGTACATCTGCTGGTTACAGCTGGATTTTTAGCAACATACGGAAAGTGAGAGTTTTCAGAAACCTGTACTCTTCATTGTCAAAACTGTGTGATAATAAATAGTGAAGATGGGCTCTTCAGTGCTGTCCTGGAGAGAAATGCTGATTTATGCTACTAATCAGATCCCCCGACCACATGCTTGAAAATTAGCTAGACTTCGAAAATACGAAGAAAAACATTTATAACTATATGAAATTTATTATGGCAGCATATTTTTGCACTTGAGTTCCTAGCTGCCATCAGAATCATGATGTATTAGAAAGATATTCTGGAATATCTTCTTCCAGGATACTCATGGAAGAAAGCATTTTCCCCCGAGTTTTCAATGTTCTAGTTCATAGCAATTTATGAAACATTTAAAACCAGTAATTTGACTTAGGGGACTATTTTGGGGGAAAAAAAAAAAAATCACTTGAAATAATAAAAAACCATTACTCGGTGCTTCAAGAATGAGCTGCTAGTGAGAGGGAAACATTCTCCAGGTTTGGCTTTCTTCTGTTTGTACATGTTGAATGGCGAACTCCGTGTGCTTCAGAAAAAAAGCAGATTGTAATCCTTGCTTTGGTAAGGGTTCAGACCTCAGTTGTGCAGTGATATCTCCTGTTACAGATCCTGGACCACAATGCAGTCTCACCAGTGTCAAAGAATTGTTCAAGAGAATCTCCACACAGGATGAAATCTTACAATTTTTCATTACTTTTAGCCTTAAATTTGCAAATTCCCATCTTTTGAGAAGTAAGACTCTTTCACAAGAGTCCAGCACATACTCTGGAAAATAACAGTCTGACTTCACGAAAAGTGCAGTTGCTGTAATGACTGTGGTTATCTGAATCTAAGAATCATCCAAATATCTCCAAACAAAAATTACATTCAGCATTATTTTGTGATCTAACAATTTTTAACAAGTAGGAGTAAAAATAGCAGAGAAGTCAGTTATGGCAATAGCTGAATTTTGGACAAAATAATAATATTGGTTAAAAACAAGGCAGGTGTAATCAGATATATGTTCAAAATACGCAGCAGGGCAGTGAGGGACAAACATGCATTAATTCTCTCCTTCAGTGGATGGTGACCTTTGGAGTGGATGATGACTAAGAGAGGGTTTTTTCTGTGTTACTGCAGTTCCTCTATGCAACTTACATTGCCCCATCTGCCAGTATGGACATTGGACTTCATCAGAGGAAGAAAAACATGATTTATCAGAAAATTGACCCAGCTTTTGAGGATCTTTTTGACCCAGCAGAAGAATATATTCTCACTGTTCTGCTAGAACCGTGGATGAAGATGGTGGAAGCAGACAAATACACTTACGGAAAGGTAACTAACTGATCTTGAGGACACTGAAAAATTCTGAAGCTGGGGGAGAAAATCACAAGAGCCTTCATATGCAACCCTGCTGCATTTATAGTCAGGAAGGGAAAAGTATTATGGGATGTTTTGTTCACCCACTCCTTTCTACACTGATGGGTGGAGAAACTTGCAATGGGGATTCAGGAGTTGGAGAGCACGAAGTTAGTTCTTGTTTCTGTTTTTCTCCACCATGACCTTACATGAAGCATCTCCATTTTTAAAGGAAATAGCTTACTGCTGATACTTCTGTCAGCATGTGATGAGAACATGCATGCATTGCTCCCCGCAAAACATTTTGAAATCCTCTTGTGGATGTTTTGTTCACCCACTCCTTTCTACACTGATGGGTGGAGAAACTTGCAATGGGGATTCAGGAGTTCCAACTCTCCAGAGCACGAAGTTAGTTCTTGTTCCTGTTTTTCTCCACCATGACCTTACATGAAGCATCTCCATTTTTAAAGGAAATAGCTTACTGCTGATACTTCTGTCAGCATGTGATGAGAACATGCATGCATTGCTCCCCGCAAAACATTTTGAAATCCTCTTGTGGAAGTTTTGTAGTACAGTGTATTTTTACTATATCATGCATGCATGTATGAACAACTGGAAGAACAAATACCTAAAATCCAAGTTGAGGATGGTCTTCTAACCCTATTAGGTGATGGCCAGCATTAAACATTTAAGAATAGAGTATAAGAACAAAAAGAAACACATACAGCAGTATTGCCAGCTTCAGGACTTTGACACTGAGGAGGTTCATGAAGGTCTTCTCCACATTTTCATGTTTAATAGTCTTTGATGAGTGTTTTTTTTCCCCATGGGTTTATGTAAATGTGTCTTGAGTCACGACATATCATCTTCAGCCTCACTGTAGTAGTGAGTTCCAGGGTTTAATCATGCAATAAGAGAAAAAAATTCTTATCTTGTGAACCCCTCCCTGATAATTTCACTCGGTGCCCTAGTTTTGCATGTCATGAGGAACAGTGAACAATTGTTATCTTGTCATATTCTCCATGTTGTTATGACTTTACATGTTTCTGTTGTATCCCACTTCAATTACATCTCTTTGAAACTCAAGAATGCCAGACTGTTTGACCTCTTCTCCAAAAGAAAGTGTTCCGTACCTTTGTTACACTTATCACCCCCATCTGTATCTGTTATTTTATATTCTTTTGATGAGATGCAAGCAGTACTCAAGATCTGGATGCACTAATGATTATCCAGTGGCAAAATCATGTTTTCTGTTTTGCTCTTTATTCCTTTGCTAATTGTTCCTATGATTCTAATTGCCTTTTGACTCCTGGTGAACTTTGAGTGGATATGCAAAATGTAAGCTAATAGCCATCTGCAATGATTCCAAGATCTCTTTACTAAGTAATAACAACTAATGGAAAGCCCTAATTTGGAGCTCACTGGAATGACTTAATGTTTATTGTCCTTGAATTCAGCTGCCCTTTTATCATGCAGACGCTAAAGTGTCCTGAAATCCTGCAGCTCTTCACAGTCAATTTAATTTTTTTGCTCTAAGGAATCATTTTGCAAACCTTGTTGTCTTCTCACTCACCTCCTTTTCCAGATAATTTCTGAATGTTTAAAAAACACAACCTTAGTGCAGATCCCTGTGAGACTCTGATGGGAACCCCACCCCATAATGAAAGTTATTTATTTCTTTATTTTTTATTCTCTACCTTCTAGTTAACTCACAAGGGAACCTTTCCTCTCATCCTGTGATAACTTAATTTCCCTAAGAAACATTAAATTTTGAACCCTGAAAAAACATACTAAAATGAAATATACTAATCCAAAAAACCACATTCTCTTCGCAAAACACTCTTTGCTTTTCAGCATCTTTTCTAAGCTTTTAAATAAATTATTTTTTCTAAGCTATTTCAGCTATAATTGTTTATGACCTGCAGAACAATGTGTACCTAATCGATGCTTTCATTAACCTGAAATTTTATTTCCTTTCAATCGGACTAGTTTTAGTCTTTTGTAAATATGTATTTTCCTTGTATATTATCAATACTAGTTTTTTTATCTATTGCCAGTCCTCACTGAGTCAAGTAATCAACTCAGGTGAGTATTATTATACATCCTTTTTAATAAAAAGGACTCTGCTTTTGAGTGCTCTCTGAATACAGTGTTTTCACTGCTTCCAGCGATGGAAGAAATCCTCCAAAGTAAGAATTGAAAATATAAACTTTTGCTTTAATTTAGTGTGTGTGTCAGTTTTTACCTCCTTGAGTTAACCGAGGCATAATCTATTGCCCTTTCAGTTTAGACCGTGCTTTGCTTTGTGAGTGTATTTATGTTCAGGCGTTGCAGTGCCCTAATAACACAAACATCTTATTCAGAGCATGAAAAACCAGAACTGAATCCTTTTGACTGCACAATACATGTGTTTGTGAAGAGTTATAATACACAGACATAAACCGACCTGTTGTAGGAGGCACTAGAGTCTCTTTGTACTAGGTGCAGGCTGATGCTTAGGCACACTCCTTCCCAGCACAAAGACAAGGTCTGCTTTGTATTTTGTTCAGACCCTGGCTCTACTCTTCCCCTTTGTTCTACCATACAGCAGGATATATTTGGCCCATAATGAAACAAGATATTTTATCAAGAATTAGGTGAGTCCAAAATTGTTTATTTGGGACATGGTCAGTATGTATCTACATTTTTATCTTTAAACAAAACATGAAAACAGAAGAGTTCCTATTTATTCTTGACTCTCATCCTGCCTCTATCTGCTTTCTGTTTAAACTTTACGAAAAATGTTCCGAATTATTTTCCTATTTACTTTTAAACTACATTTTCTTTTAAAGGAAAGAATACCCCAAAGCACTCTATAACAGCGGAATAGGGTTACGTTCAGCCTGAAGGCATTCAGATAACACGCTGATTAGTGTGGTATTCACATTTAGACAAAAGCGTAATGGATATTGATCTAAAAATGCTCTTCTCTCTCTTGCACACAAACTCCTGTATAATAACACCACAGCTTTCTAATCTTTGTAATGGGCATGCTAAGCAATATAAGGCATTGGTTCAATTTTGCTAAATATCCTAAACCCTGCATTTGAACGGTCTAGGCAGCTGAGAGGCTCACCGAACTATTCCTTATGCAGTTACCGATTGTTTGCACGTAACATGGAGAACTGCTCCAGTTACATGCATAAGGCTTCTAATCAAGTTAAAAAATCCCAATACTTCATGAGTTCTAATAATGTACAATTTATTATTTTATGGCATTACCTGATATAAAACTAAAGAAGGAGACAAGACTGAAAATCTGAGAGTTTCATCTTCGTTGTTTAGATATTATAGTATCTTTCTTGTCTTAAATTTCCATTTCTGGAAATCTGTGGCACTCTGTTTTTTCTGACATTTCCCACCGAGACTCATAGTTTTAACACCTGTTTTTCTGTTTCTCAGTGGCACTTTGACATACAGTTTGCTGGTATAGGCAATCAGGTAGTCTGACACAATAGACAAAATGTAATATATATACAATATATTATATACACAATTTAATATAGATTTTTTAAAAAAATACAAAGTTATTTTCTTAAAGATACAGTTAAATTATTTAGTGATGTTCTGTAGAAATCTGCATGTGATCCTACACAGATCTGAAAATTTTGCTCTACCAGGGCTTTTAATTGAATTGTTTGTCACAAGGATGTGACTTCCAGTGTCTTCTAAACAACAGTCTCATTACTGGCAAACTTGTTCTTTTCTATCCACTGTCACTGGCAAGGTGCCCATCCAATTCTCCATCTTTCTATAATGTGTACTGTAGGGATGACATAAGATATTATTTTTATTAGGTGGAGTTGGTGGAAGAAACTCGACAGCTGGACTCCGTGTACTTTAGAAAGCTCCAGGCTTTGCATCAAGAGAGTGGTTCCAAGAAGGATGAGGTAAGACAAGTACCTACTAACAAAAACAAACCCTTTTTCTATCAGAGAGGGTTAACGCTTTGAGTATCAGCAGTGGAAGACTGACTACATGCCAGTTCAGAGAAGTAAGAAGTCCGATTTCTACCATTCATTTTGGAAAATGATTGACAGCCATTGTGTTAGTTACAAATACAGGTCTTTTGTCAGCTACACCAGCATCAGACCATGGTATGATTGAAGTCAATGAGACAGTTTCCACTGAAGTCTTTGGAATGTATTTTGGGCACTTAATCCTGAGTAAATACCTCAATTTCAAGTAAATTACAGGTATATATTGGTTTATTTGATTATGGAACCTGCAAACACTGGTATGCAAACATAAAACTAAAGCTGATTAAGAGCCAGAGTGTTAATTTATTTCTCAGCAATCAAAAAGCTGTTCTACAGAGGCATAGGTTATCTAATGCAAGGATTATTAGACTGAGCAAAATACAGAGTTGAAAGAAGCAGTTATGCAAGTGAAATAATTTCTTCCCTCAGAGTACTGTTGGTGACACTGGTCTGCCATCCTGCCCTGCTGCTCTGAAAGAAGATCGGCACTTGCGTCAAGTTCCCAAACAATTGGCAGTTCCTGACCTGATCCACGACAAAGAGAAGTTAGAACGGTTCTGGGCTTTTCTTCATGAGCATTCTGCGGGGTATGTTTCTTCGTTATTATTATTTTCCTCATTTCTAAGTTCAGAGGAAATCTTTGCTGGGGATCTTGGAGATCTAAATGTTCACAGATTTTAGTCTTTTTTTAAAAAATGTGTTTGTATATGAAATACACATGCATATTGTTTAAACAACTGAATTGTCTTAACATTTTTGGGGTAAAAATTTTCCTGTCATAACATGTCTGTGTTACAGTTCTGCTTTCAGTTTCATCTTTGATTAGTGGCAAACCCTTGAGAAGAGCAATTAGCCTATAATGAGTAAAAAATTCTCTTTTTTTTTTTAGAAAAGATTCAATTCAGTGCATTTTAAAAATTAAAGCTGGATGTTATAAAAATGTACAAATAGAAGACAGCCACGTTATTCTCACCATGTGAGAGCAACTGCAGTTTTGTGTTTGCACTGATCTGAACAGAATTAAGTACCGGCTGGTAGCAGACAGAGTCTATGCAGGGCTTTTGGAAAAGTGAGACCATTTGTTTAGAAATGAGGATCTAAACAGAAGTTCTAGCAGAAGTAAATGTTAGTTTATTTCTTTTTCCCCAAGCCCCACGCTAAACTCTGTCCTCTTTTAGGAAAAGGCAAATATATTTTTTAAGTAACTGCTACCAAATCCTTAAATTGTCACTTCCTTCCTTTAACCTGGGTTCCCATGAGGGGATGCTTTGCATCTTGCCTATTGTTTCTAGTCAGCCGCTTGTATCATTTTAGACTGGATCTTGGTCAGCTTTTTCAATAGTGTCCAGAGATAGGCATCTTACACAGGATTTCTCTGGCCGAGACTTGATGTCATCACTTCTGCTTATCATCATAGGTTCCTTTTGTAGTCAGAGACAGAAGTACATAATTCTGGACACAGATCTTGTGAAGGCAACATCTAAACCCAGTTTGAATGGATCATTCCCAAAGAAGGCTATTTCTGCTCACTGACTACAAAAATACTGTAGATACTCTGAGTATTCTGCTACTGAAGTTCTAATATTTTCTTCCTGCCCCTCAGTGAATCATCTCACACGGTCCCTGAGCTGTGCACACTACACTTTGGAGATCACTGGTCTAGAGTTCCTCTTTATCTGGGGAAATGGTAGGAATCTCCAGACAGCTAGTCACTGGCTAAGATGTGGTCCTGGACAGGTATGGTGCATTGCCGCTGGGACTTCCTGTCTCTCTGTTTCACAGACAAGTCCCATCGTAAGTGATAGAGCCAGGCAGAGAAATGTTTGCTTTAAGAGAGACATTTTCTTTTGTAAAAATTCATAATGAAGAAAAACATTTGAAAGAGTCTCTCAAAACAGAGCTTTAGAGCTGGGTCCAGGCCTAGTAACTCTGAAATCCAGCTGGCATGCTACAGTAAAGATGCTTAATGGTACCATAAGCTGAAATGATCCTAGAACTAATGCAGCCTGGAAAATTTCAGCAAAACCCAACAAATGTGCCATTTGCCTCTTCATCAAAATTTAGGGTTCTATTATTGCCCAGTTGTAAGTGATCCTAGTTTCAGGTAGGACAGGCTGCTGAGTACCTGGGCACAAATTCTGGTAAGAAACTAAACAAAGTTCTACTAATAATTATTTTGTTAACTATATAGAATATATTCACACAATTGCAAGACAATTTGTGTTACTTTGGGTTAGTGGGTTACCACTTCTTAGTCCGGCGAGGCTGACTATGCTCATGATCCTGATCCGTTGAAAGAAAAAAGTAGAGTATGCTAGGATAAGTCACCACTGTGAACGGTTTAACTAACAGACTAATTTTATGTATTTTGCTTTTTAAATCAGATGGATGTGTTTGATCGGTTGTCATAGTTAGGTGCCAAGGAGTAACTCCATAAACCACAGTAACTTGGATTGCTTGCATTTGGGTGAAGTTATTCCCGTTGTGATGAACTAGCAAATGAAAGAATCTCATTCTCAATAGAACTTAGGTCTGTAAGTGTCTCAAAAGACTTCCGAAAGGGGGACATCTCTTCTTAAATCAGTTGGATGCTTTTCAAAGTTTTACTTATAGACTAATGCTTTGAAAAACCCAGTTATTCACCAAATGGAAAAGTGAAACAGATTTGTCTGAATTTAATGTTTGATATTTCCTGCTGCGAATGCAGTGAATGTCCTCATTAAAATGCTCACAAAACTTCAGCTAATACAATACTCTCAGAAAACGGTCATATGAATTAAACTGCAAACTTAGGTATGTCACTTACTCTGTCCTCTGGTTTAAAAAACAAAACCAATGTATGTTCCATTGATTATGAAGAATATCTAGATCAAGGATTGCATATGGAGATTGTCACTTTCTATGAATAATGAAATAAGTAGTAGAATCAGTAATTTATCGAAAGGCAGCCCACAAAAAGCCCTAGAAACAAAACCTACCATAAATCCGCTTTGTCTGCTCGACTGCAGACTTACTTAAGCTCTAGCACTTCACATGGGGTAGGAAGAAAGTGATTTCTGGGGCTGATGTTCCCAGCTGTCATCCCTGCTCCTTTCTCAGGCATTACAACGAAGAGGCAGAACAGGGGGTGTCGACTTATCTTTTGGTGACTTGCAGCCTCAGTACGGCTTGAGGTTCTCATCTGTTTCATTTCTCACTCTCCCTGCGAGCTCTGCACGATGGCTCTGGTTCACAGTCCCTGCTGTATTTAGCAGTGGCACATTGAGAAGGTTGCTCCTTTCAGAGTACCCCAGAAGGAACCTTAAATGAGATCCCTAAGATATGTGTTTGATCTGCCTGTTCAGCAAGTGCCGTGGTCTCACCAGATGGTATTAGCAATGAAAAAAATGACATAAAATTTCAGTCCAATATGACCTGGTATTTAGGACTTGAACACATTGGTGGCTTGTGGTTAAATGAATAACTCCCTAGAATGTTGATGAAATTAACTCAATATTGAAATAACATTCTGTTTAAATTTGCTTGTAGCATGGATCTCATGTGCTGGCTAGATATTGAACAGTTCAGAAAGATGCTCCCCAAGGATAAAGAAAAAAGGGAGGAAAAATGTAAGGACATTAAATACAAGTACTTAAACAAAAAGTACTTCTTTGGACCCAACAGCCCAGCTACCAGAGAACAACAAGAACAGGTACCAGTTACAAAACTGCTCATAAAGAACAATACACTGAATGCAACCGAGATAAAAGTCCATAAGCAGCTTTACTCCAGCTTTTCCCCAAGCTATCTTCTCAAATCTTTCCTATATTTTTGGCCAGAAATCTGGTTCTGGTCTGCTTGCGGGGGTCCCCTCCTTCCTGTTGAGGTTCTTCTTTCCCCGTCCTTACAGAACATCTCTCTTAAACCCTGATCTGAGGCCGCAGCCAGAGCATGCACAACACAGCTCAGAAAACGTGTAAAAATGGTTTTCGAGCAGAGTGACTTGTTCCAGCTTTCTATTTAGGTATGTCAGCAAAGCCACAGACAGCGAGTCAGAGCTGTGGTACTCCGATATATCTTGATACTTAGGAAATTTACTCTGTCAAGCTGGGGTATTATTAGCTGGAGTCTGTATTCTATTATAGGTAGGGACAAATGTAATCTGTTCCCTTTTATAAAAAGTACATGTGAGCCTTGGGTAAGCATGCATTAAATGCTTTGCTTACAGTTAAGCTCTTGCTTTGCCAAATCAAGGATGTAGAGAGATAAAGGACTTTCGGTATACACAAAAGTTTATGTCATGTGTTATTGTGTTTGGATTGCTTAGCTAATGCATCCAGGTGGAGGACGGGGACAAATCCTTCATGATCGGCTTTCGGCAGCAGTCCTGCTAAAAATTCAGCAATGCGTCCAGAAGAGATTAGAAAAACAATGGCTGCCATTGTTCCTGGCAGATGAGCACCGTGGGTCAGAGGGACGAGCAAAGGTAATTTTTTAACAACAGCAACACATCCAGGCATTGTTTTTTGTTTGGCTCATAATTTACCAGTGGGATAAAACGGTTCAGAAAAAACACAGCCCACAACTCAAACTCAGTTTTCGTGGGAAGATGTTCTAGCATGTACAGGTTGAAGCATTTAGCTTGATAATTATGGAGGCAGCTCCTCTGAAGGCTTAGTCTGGCTGACAATGTTATTGTTAGATCCTAAATCTGGAGAAGACGGTGTTCACTGTGCTGCTAGCCAGGCTGCTAGGGGCGTACAATAATCTTTGCTGTGGTGTTGCACTCTCCTTGTGCCATTCTGCCCTAGCCGTACACTGGCACACAGAAGACATGCTGCTTTGTGTAAAGGATTTGCCCAGGGGGACAAGAACACGAACAAATGAGTGGGCTTCCCACACTGTATTCTCTCCGTATTGTCCCATCTGGAGATGCAGTGCCTGTAGAAATTACTCCAGGACTTGTGAAATTCTGCGGAGTGGGGAGGTTAACTGCTACAAGCCTTGTTTCCAATTGGTTACTTCAGAAAGTTGCCAGAAAAACTGGGAATGAGAAGCCTTTCGCTCCTGCTGCCTCATTAGAAAGACTGGGGAATGGGCAGAGCTCACATCTGCCTTTCATGAGAGTGCCTCTGTGAGTGAAATCTGTGTAGGGAGATCATCCTGCTGGGGACAGATGCAAAAAGACTTGGTTTTTGCACTTCCACAAAAGCTCTGAAATGCTGGTGTCACAGCCAAAGGAAACTTGACAGTTCCACGAAGCAGACGCAGAGGCAGACAGCATTGATTCATAAAGCTTGTTTTCAATCATCTTTTTAACATCGAGAAGGTTGTCAGAAGTGTATTTGAACTGGATCATTTTCATTGATTCAGAGCATTGAGCCATCTGAAAAATGTAGGTTCTGATAAGGCAAATTGTAATTTTAATAATGATTATGTTAGAGCAAAATCTCCTAACTTTCTGCCCTTTTTTAGCTGAACTCGGGCTCCTTTATGAGCTGTGGCTCTAAACCATACGGTACGACCAAGCTGCTTCCAGGTCTGGAAGCCAGCTCATGCCTCTTCTTGCACCTGCTGCGCTGGGCTGGCAGGGGCAGTGACCCATGCAATTTAGAAAATGCTGTATTCAACTCTAATAAACAGTTTACAGGAAATACATACTTCTAATGAACTTTTAGTCTTTTCCTAACTCCATTTATGTCTGACTGCTCTTTTCTTTTTCTTACTGCAAATTCAGAGGATGAAAAGTTCCTTTGAAGAATGTATTTTAGAGGAAATGAAACCAGATGACATTCTCCACTTGGCTTCATATTTCACAGTGACCAAACACTGTGGGCATGCTATGTAGTCCTTATTCAGAAAATCTGCCCTTGATTTGAGGTGTATTTTTGCTACAAAGAAGCTGCAGGATCAAGCCTGTATTTCTGATATAGCTGTCCAAAGGAACTGAAAACATTTCATAGAAAAAACCCCAAGTTGTAGATCAAAATCTGTTCCAAACATAAGTGGTCACTTAGAACATGATGGGTAAGGCAAACCAGTGGGAAGAGCACAGTTTGACTGCCATTGCCTCTTGTCTTCTGCCCAGTCTTAATGAGCATGCACTCGTTTATAGCTGAATAAGGGATGGCGTTCAGTGTGGGTCCACAGGTTGCAGACATAAAGATCCAAATGAAGATGTATCAACCGTTCTACCACTGTGGTGGCAATCATTAGAGGGCTGAACATGAAACAAGAAGAGTTAAAAACCACAATGACAATCTTTTTTTCAACCCTAGATGAGTGACATAACTGAAGATCTTTCACGCCAAAAACAGAAGAGGACCAGGATGTGGAAGGCAAGTGAAATTTACTGTGTCTCTTGTGTTTGCAGTTTCACTGTCTTTTCCGTTTGGACCTTGCACATCTTCACTGTTTCCCTGCTGACAGTGTGAGGCCCAAAGGTAATGCTGTCAAAGGCAGGCATGATTGCACTGGCTACAGTGGACTGATGACTCACATTACTGGTGAATTTCGCTCCCCGCTGGGTGTTCACAGTAAATTTCTCCTTCTTCCTGTCTGGAGAGGTGACAGTTGAGAAAAACATGTCTCATCCTGAGCTTTGGAGCACTCTTAACCCTCCTCAAACTGGTATTGTACCTTTAATTCACATTTATCTGTATTTTGCATGCAGTGGACTTATTGGGACAAGCTGTTCATTCCAGCATCTGGTAGTTTATTTATTATTGCGAGTGGATTACGTGCAGACACAAAAGGGAATGTGAAATATGCAGTGGAGTGGGCAGGTTTAATCATATCTCACAGTATCTGTTTCATTTAGAATTGTGTTTTAATCTTACAGTACTGAGATAATATCAATTTTAAACATCTTAAACCTTTGTAATAATACATTTCATCAGATGTTTGCCAGTTTTTTCCTCTTGAAGAGCAGTGAACTCTTTGTGATTGCCAGCATACAAGTTGTGTACATTTATTCAGTTGAACTTCATTGTCTGTTGAAATCAAACTGGAGACCCGGTCACCAATTATCCTTGCAGACCATTAGCTCGAAAAGGATCCAGAGTGCATGCAGGTTCTGTTAACTGTGTTTTCCTTTTGTCTGTTTGTCAGGAAGATGGTTATTTTCCATGTTCTGCTTCAAGGTTGTTGACCCATAAAATAAGCAGTATTTGTATATTAGTATAGGGGCGGGAGCAACTTTTTGTTCTTCCCTTCAGGAATATGACCTCGAAATAATTTTTCGCAAAAGTTACCTAAATTCTGGTCACAGGGGACAGAAGACATTTGGAGGATTGGAGGAGGGCTGAGAAGATGCCACCTTACTGTAAAAGTTGAGATGACTTTATTTTCACAACAAAGGGCTGTTTTGACAAGCACCACCCACCCTCTCGCTCTCATCCCCGGCAGGCTCTGCACAGGACACTAAGCATAACCCCTGTTTTTAAGAGAAGCTGCAGAAAGACTTTCATCTTAGAATCAGGTTAGATTTCCAGGCCTGTCTGCAGCAACTAAAAATGTTTCTATCCCATGCTGACCATTGAAAAGCGCTCCTTCCCTCCAGGACTCCAAGAGTTTTATACCACTGTTAGAAGATAGTTTTCATTCATCCATCTGATAACAAAGAGGGGTTGTTTGGCTTGCTCCTCAGTGACAGCACAAGAACTGTTTGTTCAGGAAGGCAGGCCAGCCTGAACTTCATTTCAAACAAACTGTCCCTGCATAAGCCATCTTTCTTTCTCCACCCTTTCCTGGCTGCTTACTGCTCCGTGCTTTGCAGCATGAGGATTTCCAAAATGTCTTGATGACTTTAAATTCTATTTCACTATTGGTAGCTTTACTCCACAGAGAGCAAACTCTCCGGCTTCTGTTGGTGATCATGGCAACACATTTCAAAGCTCATTTTGTTGGTGAGATCCCTGTCAGAAGCATTTTACAACTTCAAGCTATGTGGTTTGTCTGTTCCTTTTTCTTTGTTGTTTGTTTGCACAAAACTCAAACTGTTCTCTCGAAAAGTAGCCTGTTGCCATAATCAATAACAATAGCTGTTTCCATACTTTATAGTATGTAGTCATATGGTCTAAATCATTGTCAGTCATTTCCTCTCCCATCACGTCTTCCAAAGAATGTTGCCCAAACCAAAATGGAAAAAAAAAAAAAAAAAGAAGGAAAGAAAGAAATGAAACCTTGCCACATTCTATTGTATCCATGTCATAAACTCATAAACTACTGAAGGTTAGGGTCAGTGCAAAGATAAGAATCAGACAGTTTACGCTAACTAATGCCTTTGTTATTGCTTTTTGAAGCAAAGTTTATTTGGTGCGTTTATTTCTTCTTTTTGACAGCATGTGGACAATAAGTGGGTTTCTTCATCCAGGGAAAAAATTGCTTTCCGCAAAGCGCTGTTGAATCCAGTAACAGCAAAGCAGTTTCAACGCTTTGTGTCACTGAAAGGAGACCTACTGGAGAACGGAGTGCTCTTTTGGCAAGAGGTACAGAAGTATAAGGTACGGCGGTAAAACGGAGCAAGGGGAATATCGTTCAATTTGTAAGCAAATGAATCCATCGCTGTGTATTAAGAGGATTTTAACAAGAATATCTCTAGGCATTTTCTTGTTCAGAGTAAAACCTCTTTCACTCTTTAAACTGTTTTTTCTTCAATGAAAACCCTTACATTTTATTTTTAATGACTTGAATATATTATCCCTGTATTTCTTTATGCTTCTTCAAACTGCAACATTCTTCTGAGTCTCAAAGAGACACTAGTAACTAGCTAATGCTCAGATTTCGGTATGCATCTGTTGAGCAGCGGAAAATATGCAAACATTAAAATCTTCATTCTGTCTCTATAGTTAACATACTGTTAAATAATTGGATTATTGCTGAATTTAGTAATCCCTCAAAAATCAGAGAAACCTTTAAATTTCAATCAAATGTACAGACGTAAAGATAGTATTTACCCCGAAAGCCTACATGTACAATGCAACCCCTGTCTCTCTTGCAGTCTGTACAGCCACATTTGACTGCAGCTGAGGATGTGGCCAAGGTGATAAGTGATGGGGAAGGTCAGCAGATTGCCTCTCTCCCAAATCCATGCCCCTTTGTGAAATTGCTTCTGTGGGGGGTGAAACACAGTGGGAGAACTCTTGAGTGAGCCTTAAAATCACACTGCAGCCTCCTTGTAGCACCTTGGACTGAATGTAGGGGCACCATGGATCGTTCACTGGTTCCTCATTCCTTTTGCCTCTGGGATACTGCTGATGCAAAAGTGCTACCGGAGTGCAGAGCCTCTCCTGGGCTCCCGAACGTAGCTGGTGTGCAGATGGCAGGCAGGGAGCATGAAGTTGACTAACGAGCTCAGAAATTAGGAGGTAAACACAGTTGATGTTGCAGTAGCAACTGGGGATCCTGCTGCAGGCCTGTTGGGTGTATTTTCACTGTTTAATTTTATGCATTTGAATTTGGGATCTGCTTTAGAAGCTGAGGCTCCTCTGTTTCCAAGGGGCAATCTCCTTTCCTCACAGTCTCTGGTCCCTAAGCAAGGAATCATCAGCTGAAATGCTCTCTGGGGCTGCTCCTGTCTCTCTCTTGGTTGCAGAGTGGCTAGCTTAGACCAGAAAGTTGACATGAAGGCACCTGAAGTTCCATGACATTTCTTTTTTTTTTTTTAAATTTTTGACTCTTCATTGTTACATTGTAGAGGACACAGAAACTTCCTGCAAATTAAGGTGGAGTGTAGTTTAAACTGTTCTCATTGTGCATCTGGTCTCTGAAGAAAGCCTTCATTGTTTTATGTCCCGCCCCCTCTCCTTCATTTATGTTAATTTTATTTGTCTTCTTATCAAGAACAAGAACAATCTGACCATATTTCTACACGCATGCAATTTGTCACGCTTGGCAGTTGATGCTCTTTATAGAAGCGAAGGGCTGGAGCAGTAGGAGTGCTGTGGGTCAGGCTGAACCGGGGGAACGTTGCCAAAGACGTGGGCAGCACTTTGCGTAGCACATACTTGTATTGTCTGAGCCCTATCATGCCATCAGTTTAGACAGAACTCACTTTAGGAGTCTATGACTGTATTGCTCCTCGTAACCCATTGGGCTGGCAGCACATCTTGGGACAATCAAATAACAGAAAAAAAAAATTTTAAACAATTATGAAGAAATAGAACTCTGAGGATCATTTCCATCTGTTCCTCTATGCTCCTGTCTCATCCCTCTTCACATCATATGGCTTGTCTTCCCTCTTACTACAGCTCTTTGCCTTTTCCTCTATGCTGGATGAGGGAAGGAAGCCATAATATATTCTTAGGATGTATTGAGTATGTTTTTGTACTGCCTTACTTTCTTCACTGTAGCTGTTATCATTCTTCTTTTCCCTTCACGAAAATAAAAAGTATTCATAATAAAACAAGGCAGCTCTTTCACAGACCACATTTCTGGTTAAAAGCCCTGTTTTTAATTTCTTTGCAAAGTAAATAGCCAGCCTCCTATACCAAAACTAAACGCACATTCTTCATTTAGAGACCTCTCTTCCTGAAAATTCTCTAGGGTGCTCATTGTGTCTTTAGTAGACATAGGTGATAATCTACTGGTGTTATAGTTCGTGTTTCAAAGTGTTTGAAGGAAGTTCTTTCAATTATTTTTCCTCTCGATCAAAGTCCAGTGGTAGCATCGTCAGAGTGTTAAAAAACAGTAATAACAGGTTTTACAAGAAAATAGGATCACGCTAAAAAAAAGTAGAAACCCCCAGTGTTTCTTTGAGATCTCAGCCTTGTTAAGTTCAGGTTTCTTTTGTATTCTGTTCTGCGCAGAGGTATTTTGAACGCTGAGGTTTAGGGAAACTAGAAAAACTTAATGAATGGGGAAAATAGCAGATTTCAATGAATGGAAGACTGTACTGGTAGCTGAAATTGTCCCTTCTTGTGCCAACATTCCTGTTTATAATACCTTGTACCCTTTAAATAATTACTCTCTTTTCCTGGCGTATTTAAAGTATTTCTTTGCCATATAGTTAACATGGCTATGCTAGTCATATCAGGCTCATTGTGAAAATCAGAGCATTTCACACCTGAAGGTGCCTTTCTCTTTTCAGAAATGTCTCCTATTTGCCAGTGATATACTTAGACTAAATACAGGAGAAAAACTATCCTGTTCTATCAGAATGTGGAGTAAGAAATTGTCACCTAAAAGCAATGATTGCTATATATCTGCATTGGAAAACCAGAAGTCTCACTCATGCCTTAACTATGTCTTTGACCATGCACATTTGCTATCAGAATTTTGTCCTACGTACTGAAGAAATCTACGGTATAATTATTTCTGTATGACTGTTACTCTTTGATCACTGGGCCTCTGTAAAGGGTCCTGTCTCTCTCTCTCTCCATTGCCTGAAAAAGCTATTTTTTGTGTTTCAGGATTTATGCCATTCTCATTGTGATGATGCTACAGTCCAGAAAAAGATCACGGCTATTATTGACTGCTTTATTAGTTCTGCCGTACCCCCAGCTTTGCAGATTGACATCCCAGCTGAACAAGCAAAGAAGATTCTGGAGCATAGGAAGGAATTAGGACCTTACATTTTCAGAGAAGCACAGGTAAGAAGCTGAGAGAGTCTCTGTAGCGTATCTGGCTAATGCCTGTGTGCCTGATTTTAAGGACGATCTTTGTTGCTTATGTGACAATTCTGACTCTGTACATAAGCCTGGGCATGAAGAGGAACACTACAGTCATACATTTCAGTGAAGATTGTATGGTGGAGATGACAGAGAGGCTTCAGGTATTTACTGCTTGATAAACTGGGCAATCTCTGGCAGTACAAATGAATTCTGTCTGTTTCTTTAATTGCTTGTTCTTTGTCTTTAATTGCTTGTTTCTTATCACTTGGTTAATGTCAGAGAAGTAATTTGTAGCTAGAAAGTTTGTAGTTTTTGTAGCTTGTAAAAAAAAAACCCATGATGTGAGTGAAGCCCAAAGACAACTTAACGTACGGATATCTTTCCCTTCTTTATCACAGAATGTCTGTATTAAATGGCTGTAGACAATTTTCTCTCTGATAATTGTGCTAATCAGACTGAACAGCAATTTGTGATCCTTTACTACAGGCTTACCATTTTCTTATTCCTCATTACTGTCTTCTCTGACTTATCATCTAAACCCAAAAAACCTAGTTCCTCTTCTTTTCCTATAAAATTGCCACTAACACCTTTAAACATCAGCTGTGAGTCCATAAAGTGTTTGGATCACAAAAGTGAATGGTTGGTTAGAGAAAAGGGTTCATATAGGTCCTAAGAGGAATAAGAAGTCTCATTTCACCCTGCTTAAAACCCAGTGAACTCCAGAAATGTGGCACAAAACCAAGGGAAGATCTTGGCCAAAAACCTGTGACTGAAACATGACAGCGACTCACATGTCACTTTCAAGTCTGATGAGCCAGAAGCAGTGAGGTGCTGAGCATGCTCGGCTCCTTTGAAGCCAAGTTTCTCAATGAGAATTAAACATCTAAATAAATTGAAAAATGTGAGCCTTAGTACGTGCAGCAAGAGAATTCACTGAGCCCCTCTGTTTGCTTTTCTAAAATTGTTTTTCTTATTCTAGTTCAAAAAAGACCCTGTGAGAGATTATATCATTTAAAAATTATCCAAGATTTGCTCATAGATCTGTAATGTGGTTTAAGAGCCTTTCCAGAGGCAAAAAAAGTATTTCCTTTCTCTTAAGGAGGGAAAAAAACCCTCTCCCTAATGAACTGAATATCTGAAATACTTGAGCAGAAGAGTGGTGCAAAAGCAATTCTACTGGTGTATATTTTATCAGGAATACTTGTAAAAAATGATGGATGTTTTCATTAATGCAAACAATTGTTTAGGGAAATATAAAAAAAGAAAGTGCCTTTTGACTGTGTTTTAAGAAGATTTCTCACCAGTAATAAACACACTGATGAAAAGCATGTGCCGAACAAAGCTGGGCTGAAATGTCAGGACACAGTATGTGGGAGGAACAAGGCTGTGTATTCAACAAGAAATAGTTATTTCATTCTCATGGTAAACTATGTTTCATTTTACAGTAAACTCTGTTTTCTTAATATGGTCAAGACTGACTTTCTTTTCTTTCTGTGCAGATGACTATTTTTGCTCTTCTGTTTAAATTTTGGCCAAAATTCTGTAAGTTTCGAAGAAATTTGGCTAGTGATAAAATTCTACTTGCCTTGGAGAAAAAAAAGGGGAAAAAGATGCAAAAGAAGGAAGGCAAAACAGCAGAGGTAAGGCTCACAGTGTCAGGTGACAGCTGATGAACTGCATAAAAACTCCTTCATGAGCAAACATATGTGAATTCAACTATTCCTTTCTCAGCCTGATCCAAAGCTACCGAAATCTTGTTGTTAAGAGTTCAAGCTTTACACGCGACCCGGTCCTAGGGCGATTATTTCCCAATCCTGCCAATGCATATACATATCTTTAACTTGAAGCAGATGAGTCAGTGGAATACTCCTTTTATTAATCAGAGGGGAAAATGTATTTTAGTCATCTTTTGTGCTAAGAGAAGCGCAAAAAAGAGGGTTGAGTTTAAAAAAAATAGATAATCTGTGTACGGTCCATGTGTACAGTGGGTAACTGCAGACCTGTTTGCACTTTCAGTATGTACTATCCGATTTTAGAATATAGTCCTGGGTCATGACTGAAAGTGAAGCAAAACAAAACCAAACCAGATTTCACATCTACTTTTCAAAAGGAGCATTGGAAAACCCTGCGTATTATTTTAAAAAATATTTATGTGCTAATTGCTTTGTATAGTCTTTGTCTTTCCTTGAAATTTTCTCAGCTTTGACACTGAAATTGTTAGACTGTTCACAATGAGTTTCCAGACAGTCTCAGTGTATTAACAGAACTGTGACCTCTACAGACGAATGTTTCCTTGTAAAATTGTTTTTCTTGGAATTTTATTATTAAAATATAATGGATTTTTTTTCCTATTGATTATAGGCTTTGCAAAAGTTTATTTTTTACAAAATGTAATTGTTTGGCTAGGTTTGAGGAGAGAACATTGTTTTAAGGGCAGAGAAATTATTGGACTTGCGAACTATCATAAGTAGCATTAAAAGACCTTTGCATATTTTAAATACCATGTACACGTGTGTTGAGCTATTACTCATGATGAGAACCACATGAGTACCTGGACAGATAAGGACATGTATGCCTGTAAGAACATGTACATGTTGTTACCCTCTTTTAGACATGAAAACTGAGGGCCGGTGAAGTGTTACTCAAGGCCACACACCAGTGTCAAACGAAGTGTAAAAGTCCAAGAACTCATGTTCCTTTCTCCAAAGCACGTTGCCTCCATACAGATATGTCTGGCAAGGCCATTGGCAATACTTATAGTGCAAGAATGCAATATTTCAAAGTAATGCACTTTTGCGTTTTCACAGACTTATTTTTTCCATCTGTTTGTTGCCTGTAAGATTTCTGATTAAGACCAAGGAAGTAAAGAACGACTCTTGGCCAGGAGGGTAAAATCCTAGCTTTTATGGGGAACAAATGGGAAAGGTGAACTACCCTCCTGAGCTGGGAAATAGGATAAGAAATTTTATAAGTGACAGGCAGAGAATGCGGTGCAGTAAATAGTTTGCAGGCTATTCTTCTCACAAAAAATTATCAGGAAACCAGTTATCTTTTAAAAACTCTTGAAAGAATAGGTGGAACACCTAAGATTTTGAAACCCTTGTCCTCTTCTATTATTGTTTAAAGAATTTGCCATGCCTTGTTCTCCTGCCTGAGATTTCTGTCCCCTCAGTGACAACTATTCAAAGGATTCAGGATCCCTGAGGATACCAATAATGTTCATCCAACATAAGCGACAACAGGTTCCCTTGGTAGCTTGTAGAAGGTGATGATTTCTTGACATTTAAAATAACCCCTCATAGCAGAGGGGTTGGAACTAGATGATTTTTAAGGTCCCTTCCAACCCAAACCATTATGATTCTATGATTCCTCTGCCTCACCAGGCTCACGTTGATGGAGACGAAAGCTTTGTCAAGGGATAGAAATTATTTAAAAAAAAAAAAAATATATATATATACACACATATTTTTTCCCCACATGCAAATCAGTTGCCATTTTGGGTTTATATCCAATGGAACAGTCATGGTCCTGGGGGAAGAATTTTACTTTCTCCCTTCTCATAGATTTGTCCCTGGGGTGTCCAATCTACCTGGGCTCATTTCACTTTCTGAACTGACTGGTTAAGAGTTGGACTTCTATGTGGTGTAATGGAAAAGATGGGTAGACAAGGAGTTTTTCACTGGACAATGAGGCATGACTTGGTATTATTTGACTACCTCAGTATTTTTTGTGTGTGCTTATTTGTTATTTATGGGACAAATCCTATCGAAGGCTTCCTGCAATGGACTTGGTGGAGGGGAGGAGTGGCTGACAGCAGGGGATGCCATGCAAGCACCGTCCAATGCAGAGACGTCTTTCAAGCTTAGTGTCTGGAAAGCAGGGATGGGTGAATTAAGCTCTAACATTCAGCATAATGTGATTGCCTCAGCAGTGAGCTGAAATTGTTGTTTTAAAAGATGTTGCCTTGGGAGAGTATGGTTTGCTTCTTTGCATTCACATACTTGCCCCCAGTGTGGCACAGGTATATGGGCTCAACTTTGGCTCGTCTGTGGATCTGTTGCTTCATTAGCTCCTGGATGCAGATACCACACGCATGCTTTAAAAAGTATCATTAGTCACTTTTTGCAGACTGACTTGATGCCTATATTTATAATTTGTTTTATACACGGTTGCATTTTACTTCCAAAATAGTTTTTGGAGTTTTGGCTTTCAAGTGTACAAAATAGCTTTAACGTACACTCTGAATCTGTACTTAGTCTTTCCATGCCATTAGCAGAGGAAGGTAAAACCATAAGCTTAATTTTGCTTTTCTGTGTTTCACTCATCTTTCTTTTTGCTTTTTACCATTAAGCTTATTTGTTAGTACCTGGTGTAACGTCACGGGATATGACATTGCCATAACATTGCCTAATTTATTATGAGAAGACATTATTTAAAGACCTTATTTAAAGACCTTATTTAATTCACCATTCTCATTGAGAAAAGTAGCAAACACAAACTGTAGTATGCACACTATTTCTGTATTTGCTTTGGCAGCTCTGTTCCATCAATTGAGCATGTCACAGAAGTTAATAAGCCTGTTTCTGAAGAGAAGATAAACACCACACTACCTGGGAAATTCTATACCCGCTAGTCAACCTTATAGATGATGAGTCCATAAGACAATGGGGATCATAGAGAAGGAAAAGGCACCTTGGGAGCAAGGATGTAGCATATTCTGATTGTCTTCCAGATCTTTCAGGAACTTTCTGAGTGACTTTGGGAAGCATTTGACTGACCTTTCTGGGTTTTTTTCTCACTTTCTCCTTTGCAACATGGGAGGGTTATATTACTCACCCCATGGGGAGGTTGCGAGGTTAAGTATATGAGGTTAAATATGAACATTGATTAATGTTCATAAAAAGTTTCAGGGTCATCAGACAGAATGTACAAAGGTGCAGCCTTAATAAAACACTAGAACAACATGAAAATGACAAATAGTTAACCACTAGAATGGTTTACTAAGGGTTACAATGCCTGTAACATGTATACTGTAGTTCCTTCGTCGGTACTGGACCAAGCTGGAATTAATAATGAGAAATCCTACATTCTACATTTATACCTGAGGCCAAATTAGAAGGTCACAATGGCCTCTCTGTCCTTAAAATAAGTTCTGTTGCAGGTCTGCCCTCTCACTTAGCTATATTTTGGAGCAGGTATTGAATCTGAGAGGAAGATGGTCTGGAGGAGTACAGAGGTCAGGAAACTTTGGTTAGGACAAAAAAATGCTTTTAAAAAACAGTATCTTGTAATATTTTTATTATGCCCAATGTAATGAATTACAAAACTGGACATTCTAAAACATTACTCCATATGACAATATCTTTTTTCCAATGTCAATTTTCTTCTTCCTCAGACTTTGCTTTTTACTTTAGCTTGGTAATGTCTTTTTACATCTAACTGTGAGTTCTTATTATTGGCAGGGTAAGGAAGTGGATACAAAACTCATCAGTCTGTCAAGCGGTGCTTTGGTAGATGAGATTGGTGTGGAGAGAGGACCAGCATCATTTTCAAATGGATATGGGTGGCAGGTGAATAATAAATATGTTGCTACAGATATAATCATTCAAGAGAGATAAAATCACCTTGGGAGAATGGGAAGGTGGCGTTTGGTATTGAATACTACTATCACATGGTTATTTGATAACTGTTCATTCTTCTACAATTAACTTCACTGTTGTAAGATTACCTACTTTACAGGTGATTTTTAAAAATTTATTGATTTTTTATGATTAAGATTTTGAGTAGTATTAATATTTAACAATGTATTAACCCCTTTAGGTGTATAGAATTTAAAAGAATTTTTATTTAAAGATGAATTGAATAAAAGGAAGCACAATTCTGGAATTAACAAGCTTTTCATAACTTGTGAAATTCATAGCCTGCAAGAATTTGGTTTAAGCTTGAGTCTTGTTCTGCTCATATGTGAAAAACTGAAGCTGAACTCATCTAGGAAATCTAAGTATTTGAATAGAAAATCTGTCAGAAAATAGCTCTTTAGTACTTCTTCCAGAACAACTCTCATGATGCGTCAAATCTGTAGTGAAAAGGTAACAGCCATTTTATTGGAGAAACAGGAAGAACGGACATACTACCCTGGGCATATCAAGGGATCTTTCATAGCTGAGTTGACACTGCCATGGCATAACGGGGGATCTGTGCCACCACATAATCCTAGCTATGTCATGTGATGCAGGAGTAAACTGCACTTTGGCCACTGCTTATATTCCATAGAGTTCTTCCCGCAGCATTACATTAGTGATGAGCAGAATATAGAAACAGGCAGTCTGAAATATCGCCAGTATCTGAAACCACTATGCAAACTGCACAGTTAATCTCACATTCTTATCCCTTTAATGGACTTTGGCTCATACTTACTTAAAAATCAGAAAGTGAGTTGAGTGAGCCAGTATATTAATATGTGTTGCCTAAGCCCTCAAGAAGCAGCAGGTAGTTGCAGAAAGAGCAATAATCTTTAATGGAGCAGTTTCTTCTCAAAGCCCCTTTCTGCTAAAGAAAGATGCTAGAAATCCTTACTGAGTTCTTACATGACAAATAGACCCCAAATGTCTCAGGCAGTAAGGAAGAAAAATGGCCAAATAAAAGTACAGTTCCCATACTGATTTGGGAGAGTGACCTAAAATTTACATGGAACCTTAAGTGTGGTTGTTGCCACGCAAAGAGCAACGCTTGCTCCTTCGAAAAGCAAAGGATGACATCTCCAGTTGACCTGCTTCTAGCATTCTGACAGAGAGGGCAGGCAGAAAGAACTGGGAGGCTAATGAGACCTTTGATGGTTTGAGAAAGGACACACTGGAAGGATATGGCAGGGAGATAAAATCAAGTCCTCCATAGCACAAAAGACTGGTATTTTAGGAGGGGAAAGATTTGCTGTATTTAGGTTTTGAAGAGGAAAGGAGGGAGAATAGGAGTCAGACCAGGGATGGAGAATAAATGAATGTACACATCATATCTTTCAAACTTGCCTAAATTGCATTTTATGGTGTTTTGAGATTTGCTTAGTTGCAGCAATACTATTTTTCCCATGATTCCAATATTGACATGACAAAACTTCTCTTGTTAATAATTGTGATTATTCAATAACATGGATATAACATAAACAAGGTTTTTGTCTCACCATTTGAAATGGAGGCTGATGGTTCTTACTGGTTCTTGCAGACTTCCTGGTCCTATTCCAAGTACATAGAAGCCTTGGAGCTGGAGAGAATACTCCTTAAAATGCAAGAAGATCTGGAGGAAAACTCATCATCATCCCTTACAGGTTGCTAACCAAGCTCTGTAGTTTAGGAGGACAAGCTTATAGGTTAGGTGAAGTTCTCTCAGTATAAGGACTTTATTTACTCTCCTTTGGAGTTGCGTACATAAACCTCTGCCGCTCTTACGCTGCCTGCAGGGAAGTTGCTCTCTGCACCACACTCGCGAGTGTTAAGTTTTCTAAGAAAGGGAAAGTGAAAGTTGCATGTTATCAGCATTGCCTTTACTGCACAGCTCCTCCTGCAGAGAGGAATTCGCGCATTTCTTCCTTCTGCAGAGCTGACATGGCAATCCGATTTGGTTCACACACATTTTTGCCTCCCTGGCTTCTTGTGCTTCATCTTACATACAACCAGAGACATGAAGCTTTTTTCTCACCAGTTTGTCAGTATGCTTTTGGGGGAGGTAAGAGGCATGGCTTCATCCTTGTTTCAGACGTGAAAGTTCTCTTAGGTCTTCCCCAAGGATATGATGACCTCTTTGTTCATTAAACAGCTCCATTTAGCAGTAGGGATAGCAATAGCACTATGTAATATTAAACCCCTTCAGTTTCCTACATTTTACATTTCTTTCTGTATGCAGGTACCTCATCTATGTCCTTCCCAAAGTCTGGAAACTCTGAAAAATCCTCCATTTCTCCAAAGGGTAGAGTGACTTTGGAGAAACACTCAAATCTTCCCAAGAAACAGAAAGTGAGTACCAGGCTGCCAACAAATGTGCTTTGAAATCTGGATTCTTAAAAGCTAGTTTTCCTGCTGTCAGTGCTGATGCTCATTAGTACCAAGTTATCCCACTCCAAATCACGTTTAACTGAAGCTGTGCAGCCTCAACATGAAGGCAAGATTATTTTTCACTTCAACCATGGTTAGTGGACCTAATGTTGACCAGATGGAATTTTGTTGCAGAATGGTAGTCTCTGAAATGTGGTTATCTAAGCTTTCCAGTTAAAATATTTTAAATAGGAGCATGAGGTGTCTGGAAGAAGCTCAGACCCCGTGGAGTTACTGGCAAGGGCCTGACACAGAACTAGCAATAGATCATCTCTGCCGAAGTCAATTAAATATGAGAATGGGAGAAAGAATTCGGACAGCAAAGAGATCTGATAAAGATAGAAAAACAGATTTTGCTTCAAAGCTTGAATTCCTAGATGGAAGAATCCCCTGGAATTTTTTTTTTTCTTTAAGCTTATGTTGAAATTAGACAGACTTAAAAGAAGTTAATAGAACTTGGACTGTTGCTCCCCTTTCTTCTCTGCTCCTCCCTTCCTCTTCCAATTCTGTACTTCAATGTCGCTATTTTAGGCAAGTTGGTGTCCTGCCCTCACGAGTCCTCCTAAACTTCCCAACACACTCTTCCTGTGACAGCATTTTCTGTACGTGGCTTCAGAGGAAACTGCAGCATTCCTTGGTCTTCCCTTTCTGCCCTCTTATCACCTCCTCTAGTTGCACTTAGGTCCAAGGTGACTGGATGACACTTATGCACCTCTGCAGGTGTTCCTGTATTTCATACATTTATGCCTTTTTGTACTGCAGTTCTGCTTCTCACGCAGCTGTGTCAGTGCGGGGAATCCCTGTGCAGGGGCCTGGGGCCTGGTCTGCAGCTGAGGGCCCAGCACTCAAAGAGGGCCTACAAGGTAGCTGCAGTTCTTGCTGCAGGCCAGCCCAGCAGTCCCTGGTCCATCCTGTTATTCAAAACCTGAGAGCTGCTTTCCTGCCAGGCATCAGGCTGTGGCATGGGCTCACACAATGAGAAAGTAGAGGTCCTGAGCAGTTTGAGAGGTCTCTCCCACCAGCTTCAGTTGCAGCCCAACCTCCAACCCCACTGGAAGTTTGTCTTTTTTCCCAATAGCTCAAGTGTTCTCATAGCCTTTGAGTGTTTTCCTCTTCTTCCATCGTGGCCCTTGAGTGGTTCCTCTCAATCATGCTCTCTGCAGTGATCTGATCACTGCTGGTGGGGTGAGATATCTACAAAGTCCACCACTGCTCTTGACAGGACAGCTTCACTCCACTTAGTTACAGGGGAGGTCTCACCTTGTGTGTTGGGTATACATGGCAAGGTGCTGGCACTGGGCGGGTGGGTGCTCTTGACAGGACAGCTTCACTCCACTTAGTTACAGGGGAGGTCTCACCTTGTGTGTTGGGTATACATGGCAAGGTGCTGGCACTGGGGGGCTGTGGCTTCCATGAGGAGAGGCTGGGGCTGCCCCATGCTGCACATAGAAGCTTCCAGCCAGCTCCAAAGGACCCATCACGGGACACAGCTTATCCTACCGGCCAAGATAGTGGCACCTCAGGGAAACATATTTCAGAAAGAGCAAAGAAAGCCAGAGAGAAGAGGATGGGATAAAAAGAATGAAAAGCAGCAGAGGGAGCACAGGCCAGAGGAGGAGGAGGTGGAGGAGGTTGAGGAGGAAGGAGATGCTCTATGGTGGAGCAGATATTCCCTGCAGCCCATGGAGGACCCACGCTGCAGCAGAGGAAAAGAGTGAGAAGGAAGAAGGGGCTGTCCATTGCCTCACTGAGTGTAACCCGTGGTGGTAACAGGGAGGGGAGGAGAGGTGCTTGGAGTGAACTTGAACCTGGGAAAGTAGAGGAAAAGTGTTTTCCCTGAGTGTGTAAATTTTGGGTTCTTCTTTTTCTTGTTTTTGATTCCCACTACTCTAATGATGATTTATTCTAATTGGCAATAAATTAAGTTGCCCAATTAGAGTCTGTTTTGTCTGCAGCAATAATTGGTAAGCAATCTCCCTGTCTTTATCTTGACCCAGAAGCTTTCTCTTTGGTGGTTTTCCTCTTTTCTCCCCTTGTCCAGTTGGGGGTGGTGATGAGTGAGCAGCTGGGTGGGAGACTGGCTGCTAGTGAGGGCCAACCCAACCACACCTTGCTTCTCTCTTTTTGATGCATTTATTGAAGAACTGTTCTTATTGTTTCAACTGACTCCAACACAGCAATGACGTTCTGTTACCTTTTGCAGGCAGACAAAAACCTCTCTGAGGAAGGGACTGCAGAGACATTCAATGGAGGTGGGCAAGAGACACAAAAATAATGTGCATGCACGGTTTGTACTTACGTTTCCAGAGCAAAGATGCTGACTTGGAATATTATTAAGAACTGTGGGACATTAGTCAAAGGTAGAAAATAAACATCTTCCAATGTGTTCCATATCAATGGGATTGTGATACTGGCTCCTGTGTCACTCATTTGTTTAATAGGACATCTTGAGGTGTACTATTACTAATCAGAGTAAGATTCCACTGAAATACACATGGTACAAACAACTAGGTGGTCTTGGTCCTAAAGATCTTATAATCAAACCCAGTTCTTCAGTGCCTGATCTGATGAATATGTAAAACACTGCATTGAACTGACAGCCCTGAAGCAGTGTGTCTTGGCATACTAAGCTCTCAGTACTGCAATTCACGCAACTGCTATTCATCAAGAATAACTCCTGAGGTGTCTTATCTACCATAAAATCAAACTCTGTTGTGGTTTGCTATCAGTCCAGTCTCATTCCTGGTCCAAAGTACACCTTCTGCCTCATTTCTGAGTTTTGATCCACAAGAAAGGCTTAAAATGCATCAGGACACAGATGTGATTGAGAGGTTTTGTAAAATGTCATTCCTCCCAAGGCATTACCCATTAGAAGGTTGCAGGAGCTCATAGCTCTTGTGTAGCTCTCCCTACTTTCTTGCTTCTTTTTATAATTTTAAGAGCTTTAAAAAGAACCGGGGCAAAGTTGACATTGGGACTAGGGCCAAAGGATTAACTTGGGAGTTAAGAGGGGGCAGCAGCAGAATTAACTGCTAGGCAGGGGATGGGATGATGATAGACCTCTCCACATTCTTCAGACCACTTTAAACACCAGTTCCCAGCCACAAAATTGTTGGCTTCGCTCTTCTCTACATGTGTGTAATGCATGTAAGAGAAAGGCAGATCAGTGAGCTCCAGCTTGCTGCTGAGTTTCCAAGGACAGCCCTGAGTTAGGGATGGTAGTCTCCCAGTACCCCTCCCAACCTCTTGGACAAGAACAAGCTGTGCAGCCCTCTCTGCTGTCAGAAGTAAAGGTCCTTCATCTGGAGCTCTTAGATCGTACTGCTAAGGACCATTCATGAGTGCTTTCCTCCTCAGCGTGGAGTAACAGATAAGGACAACTAATAGGGTTTTTTTTTTCCACTCTTGACACAATGACAAGAATTGTACAGGATTCCCATCAGGAGTTGCGTCAGATAGGCTGACAGAGAAGAAAGACTCTTTTTCATGGATATAGCTGCCCTGTTCATACATCCCTGCAGAAGGAGCAAGGGAAATCATCGATTCAGTTCCTACTTTCCTCACAGTTCAGAGGCAGTTTGCTTCATGCTTATCTCCATTTCTTCTGTGTTTGGGCTGTTTGCTCGTTTGACATACCTGAGAAAGACGTCTTGAGTGGAAGCCATAGGGGAGTAAAACAAATTTCTTGTCCATGTTTTTCATGTTTTCCCAAATTTCACAGATGCACTGAACTTTAATGCTCAGTATGTCTGAGGAGGGTGGAATGTAGCATCTTGCAGCGAGCAGTGCACATGTGGTACTGTGTGGCCTACCACTCATTAATGTGAAAGGCAAAGAATCATGAAATGCCATAAATGCAGTGATGTGTGTCAGTCTAAAAAACATGTGAAAAGACACCTTCTACTGCTGTGGACAGTACAGCGCACGCAACCAAATGCTGGAGCGCGGCAGTCAGTTTCTGTTTTGTTGTAATGCTGCCTTGATGGCATTTTGAGACAGTTAAATAACATGTAGGCAATGCTTATCTTACGCTGGTAGCTCTGACTCAAATCATGCTTGGATCACTTCTAAAATGAAAAAAACCATCATCCAGATATTTATCACAGATGATAAAACTCCTTGTGGATGCGTTCCAACTTTGCCAAATTGTTAACGAAAATTCAACAGCCCCCACGCAAAATCTACTGTCCCAGACAGTTACTGTGATTAATACCATACATGTCTATCAAACTTAAAACAAAAAGAAAATGTTCTTTGTGTACTTCCATGAGTGAGTAGAATTTTGCAAACTGGATCTATCCACTCCAAGTTCTGCAAACCGATGATAACCCTCAATCCAGTTTGTAGTTCAGTCTCCATGTTAACTGAAGTATCTACGCGTGTATATATGTGTATATACACCCACACGCACAGTCATTTCTAGGCCATGACTTTAGTATGCAACGGAGGAGGATCACGTGTGCTAGTAGGGCTAGAAATATGTGTCATATCATTATGCTCATTTTATGTGTTAATTTTAAAGAAGTATTGAGCAATTGGACAGGGAATATGTTAAGACGCAGGGATCCTTTAATTTCTGGGTTACTGAATCTAATCTGATGCAACAACAGGTATCCCATAACTGCTACTTGGTGATATGTCTGAAACGGAAGTGTGGTTTTAGTCTTGTCCCGAGGGACCAAGTAATGACCATTGCCAGTTCCAGCAGATTGCCCAGGAACAGGACAGGTATAGAGACTAACAAAATGTTGTTGTTCTAACTCAAGACTCTATCCCTTCGGAAAGCTTGCAATGCTATTGCCTTTTTCTCTTGTGCCTGAGACCTATTCTCTCTCAGCCTGCTGATCTACCACCTACGTGAGCTCAGCAGTTTCAAAGGGCTAGAAAAATTTTACTCAACAACCCTAGCACCTCTCCCTTTA